TGTGAGGACATTTAGTGTGAGGACACTTAGTGTGAGGACACTTAGTGCGAGGACAGTTTGTGTGAGGACACTTAGTGCGAGGACACTTAGTGTGAGGACATTTAGTGTGAGGACACTTAGTGTGAGGACACTTAGTGTGAGGACACTTAGTGTGAGGACACAGTGTGAGGACATTTAGTGTGAGGACACTTAGTGTGAGGACACTTAGTGTGAGGACACTTAGTGTGAGGATATTTAGTGTGAGGACAGTTTGTGTGAGGACACTTAGTGTGAGGACACTTAGTGTGAGGACACTTAGTGTGAGGACAGTTAGTGTGAGGACAGTTAGTGTGAGGACACTTAGTGTGAGGACACTTAGTGTGAGGACAGTTTGTGTGAGGACAGTTAGTGTGAGGACAGTTAGTGTGAGGACACTTAGTGTGAGGACAGTTTGTGTGAGGACAGTTAGTGTGAGGACACTTAGTGTGAGGACACTTAGTGTGAGGACACATAGTGTGAGGACAGTTAGTGTGAGGACAGTTAGTGTGAGGACACTTAGTGTGAGGACAGTTAGTGTGAGGACAGTTAGTGTGAGGACAGATAGAGGACATTGTCTCACCATCGCATCGTATCCGAGGCGGTTCATGAAGCGCGCGGCCTCGGCTCCTTTGAAGACATTGAACCAGACTGTCCCCTGGAACTGGTCCCCTGCGTCCAGGAGCAGGACGTGCGGTTCTGAGCTCCGGACCCGGCGGACCGCCGTGGCTCTCCGGGACACTCCACCGAAACACTCGCCGCGGACCGCGCACTTCCCCGAGTGCACGCTGGTCTCTTCCACGCGCGCGTGAACGTCGTTGGTGTGCAGCAGAACCAGGTCCCAGGCGGAGGAGACCCCCAGCAGGGCGAGGAGGTGCAGTGGACAGGACCCGCACCGAACCATGTCTCCCGACTGCAGCTGGCAGTGACAGAACCGAACCTCCTCCCCCACCCGGAGGAGGAGTGAAGTTGTGCTCCCGCTGCACCTCCTGTATGGAAGCTGCGTGGTGCCAAAACAGGCCAATGTGAACCCAGCAGCTGGAGGTCCAGGTCCAGGACCTTCAGTCAACCAGAACATCTGAACCACCTTTAATGACACAGCATCAGAACCGGGCCGAGCGGGTCAGAACCATGAGTCCAAGTCAAGGCCCGCGGGCCAAGTGCGGCCGTTCCTAACGTTTTATCGGCCGACATAAATTTATTTTTTCATTTATCTTTATTTATCCAGGTTAGTCTCACTGAGCCTTTTCAAGAGAGACCTGTTTAGGGTCACATGGTGGGGTTAAGGGCCTTGCTCATGGGCCCAGAGTGGGGCGAATGAGGGTGGAGGCAGGTGTGGGTGCTTCACCCACCCCACCCACAATTATTGATGTTGTCGGGGCCGGGGCTTGAACCGGTGATCTTTGGATCACAGGCCACCTCTCTAACCTCTGCACCACCACTCCCCCAAAATGTTCCGCGGAGAGGTTTCAGCTGATTTAATCAACATTTTAAAGTGAAGAAGAGTTCAAAGACAAAACTTACAGCCAAACAACGGCTAACATCTGATGAAGTAGCTTAAACTCAGCAGCCAAAGGTTTAAAAAAAGCTAGCTAAAAAAAGAATAGCATTAGGTAAAAGTAGATGAGGCAGCACGGTGGTGCAGCTGGTAGAGCTGCTGCCGCTCAGCGAGCAGGTCGCTGGTTCAAACCCCGGTCCAGGGGCCTTTCTGGGTGGAGTTTGCATGTTCTCTCCGTGCATGCGTGGGTTTTCTCCGGGTGCTCCAGTTTCCTCCCACAGACCAAAAACATGCATGTTAGGCTGATTGGTAACTCTAAATTGTCCCTAGGTGTGAGTGAGAGAGTGAATGGTTGTTTGTCTCGTTTGTCTCTATGTGTCCCTGTGATGGACTGGAGACCTGTCCAGGGTGTCCCCCGCCCCTCGCACAGTGATTGCTGGACATGGGCACCAGCGACCCCCGTGACCCAAAAAATGGAATAAACGGGTAAAGATAATGGATGGATGGATGAAAGTAGAGAAACACTAGCTAACGGTAAATAATAATTAAAAAGAATAACGTTAGATTAAAAAGAATAACGTTAGATTAAAAAGAATAACGTTAGATTAAAAAGAATAACATTAGATTAAAAAGAATAACATTAGATTAAAAAGAATAACATTAGATTAAAAAGAATAACATTAGGTAAAAGGAGGAAATGTCGAGCTCAAAATATAAAAACCGTAGCTGAACTGGGTCAGAAGAACGTCGTCGTTTTCTTTCTCGGATTATTTTTAGTTTCTCGTGTTAAAGTTTAGCAGCTGAATGTTTAGTTTTAGCTGATGTGACGGGTTGTAGTGAAACGTAAAAGCTGCTGAAGCAGATTAAAAGCCCAAAATGTTTATCTCGGATGACGTGGATTTATGGAGTTTGATGAAGTTCCTGTCAGAGGATTACGATCTGCAGGATATCCTGATGCATGCTCAATAATCCAGGACCAATCC